GAGGCCTCGGTGTACTCAGGAGTTTGTACAGAGATCTTCAAAAGAGAGTGTGTGATCTTCCAGAAACCAGTCTACTGCTTTGTTCATCTGAGCATTCAGGAGTTTCTGGCTGCAGTCTACATGTTCCACTGTTTCATCAGCAGGAAGACAAAGGTGCTGAGAGACTTTTTGGGGCAAAAGTACAGTGGGTCATCTCTGGATGATTTTCTCAAGATAATCATAAAGAAATCCCTCCAGAGTAAAAATGGCCACCTGGACCTGTTTGTCCGCTTCCTTCATGGCCTCTGTCTGGAATCCAACCAGAAACTCTTAGAAGGTCTGCTGGGTCAGACAGAGAACAGTCCAGAAACCATCCAGAGAGTCATCAAAAACCTGAAGAAGATGAACAGTCGTAAAATCTCTCCTGACAGAAGCATCAACATCTTCCACTGTCTGATGGAGATGAACGACCTCTCAGTACATCAGGAGATCCAAGAGTTCCTGAAGTCAGAGATCAGATCAGAGAAGAAACTCTCTATGATCCACTGCTCAGCTCTGGCCTTCATGCTGCAGATGTCAGAGGACGTTCTGGAAGAGTTGGACCTGCAGAAGTACAAAGCTTCACAGGACGGACGACTGCGACTGATTCCAGCTGTGAGGAACTGCAGAAAGGCTCGGTGAGTCCAGATGTGATCATTAATATCATTGATCAATGTAGGTTAATAGTTTAATTTTTAAAATAAGAATCACAGTCCTTTATTTACTTTGTTTTATTATTTTGCGTTGAAATGGAGTCCAGAGTACATTCCTTGGCATTGCACATTTTAATATTTTTTAGCTGAAACTGTAATGGTAGGGAAGACTGAGAACCTTCAGAGACAGGTAGGGAAAGACCATCTCTGAATCGAGGAGGGGGCCTAAGGGTACATCTTTCACCATCTTACAATGCTGTGATTGCAGCCATTCCCCAACTCCTTGTGAATGGGACTGATGGACACTGATCAGTGGTCTTTGATCAGTGGGTTTTGATCAGTAGTTGTTGATCAATGGTCATGAGAATTTAATTTATAA